GGAGGACTGCAGTCATGGAGGGGAGGACTGCAGTCATGGAGGGGAGGGCTGGAGTCATGGAGAGGAGGGCTGGAGTCATGGAGGGGAGGGCTGGAGTCATGGAGGGGAGGGCTGGAGTCATGGAGGGGAGGACTGGAGTCATGGAGGGGAGGACTGGAGTCATGGAGGGGAGGACAGTTTGCACATGATCCCCTCCTGCTCACGCTGCTGAGGACCACCCCCTCCAGCCAGATCTGAGAGTGAAGCGGCTTTTACATTGCTTGATATTTAAATCACTGTGAACCGTGTGTGGGGATGCCTGGGAAACCGATGGAGAAACAGCTGTGCCTCACAGTTGTTTTCTGAGGCAGGGTCTCTCCCTGCCTGCAAAGGCTCACACCATCCACAGGCTCACACCACCAACCAGACTCACACCCATCCACGAGGACTCACACCATCCACAGGGACTCACACACCATCCACCACGTTCACACCCATCCACAAGGACTCACACCATCACCTGTCCCTGCCTCCCAGTCCAGGCCTTAGCGCTCACCCCTGCTTCCCTGAGTGGCAGGGGCATATACATGATACAAAAATCAAACATGGAACTTGTGAGCTCAGAGCCGGGGCACATCCATTAAGTCCCAATCCCAGGAGAGAACACTGAAACACCTGTGCCTCACCACACACGTGACCACGCACACATGACTTCAGTGCCAGTGTCTGTGCAGAGCACAAAGGGACCAGTGGTCATGGCGGTGGAGTAGGGAGCGGCATGTGTGCGGGCACGAGTGTGCAGGCACAAGGGGCATTCGCTGTGGACAGCGGCAGGAGGCCATGGTTGTTTGTTGCTGTGTTTTGTTGTTTTGTTTGTTTCGGAGGAAGCTGCTCAGGCCGTCCCTGACCCCAACACCAGAAGCCAGGAGCTGGCGAGCCGGCCGGGCCCCACGTGCACACCAGCGCTGAGGAGCCAGGCTTTCCTCACACCTCTGCGGCCCAGCGCCTGGCCGAGAATTCAGTGTGTGCCCGTGGAGGGAATCACACAGAAAGCTGTGCACCTTCAGCAGATGCCCAACCATGTCTGTCACTTTCCAAAAGAATTCTCCAGAGAGAAAATTGCATGAGGTTTTGTAAGGGAAACGTCCACTTTGACAGCGAGGAAATATGCATCGGAAATAGTGTCCTGAGTTGCCATTTCTCCACAAATTAACCATGTCAATCACCCCAATAAATAAAGCCCGAGGGGGAGACAAAAGGAGAATTACTCATTACCTCAGCATCTGCTGAACACAGGAAAGCTCACACACTGGCTGATTGTTCTGAGGGACATAATCTAACTTTCTGGAAAGACACAAGACACCTAATTACAGATTCAGGGCTCAGGAGCACTCTGTGGAGGGATTCAGAAGTGGGTGTGACTTACACAGAAATGAGAGATGGCTCATACTGTGACAGACCCCATCACTGCATTTCACAACTGCTGTCACACACAGCTCATGCTTACCATGCGAGGCTCCCCTAGACAAGGCGGGTGTCAGCATCACGAGTACGCGCGCGCACGCACACACACACACACACACACACACACACACACACACACGCCCAGGCCCCCCTCCTGGGAAGCGGGTTCAAGTTCTAGACCAGGGAAGACCAAAATGGCCTACAAATAGGTGAAGACTCAAACTTCCCCAACAGCCCCAACAGTCCCAACAGTGGGCACTTTGAAGGAGGCGAAGGTTCGAACGTCAGGCTGTCCAGCAACCGGTCCATGTGACCAGGGCATGCCAGGGCATGCAAACAGGCCCAGCTCTGACAGGGGCGGCACGGAATGTCACACTTGGTGCAGCGGCCCTCAGGGTCTGTCTGGGATGGATAACCATCCACGGTCTCCGAGCCGGTGAGCGGTCATCCACTGGTGAAGCTCCGAGCCGGGGCTCACACCATCACACCTGCCCACTATAGAACGAGGGCCTCGAATGGGATAAGGACCTGGCAGTTGTCAGAGAAACAAACACGTGCTCACTCAGCAGTGAACCGAGAAGCAGCATCGGGTGAGGCCTGCTCGCTCGCTTCATGGTAGAGTCACGGTCAGCGAGATGCCGCCCCCATCCACAGGGAAGCCTGCCGTGCCGCCGCTGTGCCCAAACGCCGCTGCCACGTTTGCAGCCCAGCTCCTGCCTTCAGGGCGGTCCCCAGGAAAGTCAGGGCCTCATAAATAAGCCAGACATACCCTGCTCTGTCGGCTGAGACGCTCACCACGTGCTGAACAACCAAGACCCATGTGACCAGTTCACTGTGTAAAGAGAAAGAGAGCATGCTCTCGGAGACACAGCCTAACTTCTGCCGCTTCTGGTGCGCCCTTCACCAGGAAAACGAAGCCTGTAGGCACCAGGGACAGAGGGCGGTTTCCAGTCCAACACAAGGACGAGCTAGCCACTTAGCTCAAACAGGAGAGCGAAGGGCCAGAGAAGGGGTTTCTGGGCGTCAGCATTGCTAGTGTCCTCTGAGAATTACAAACAGAAGGGAAATAAAGCGCTTCATTCCGTTCTACAAGCAGCTGCAAACGGACCAGCCGCAAGAGACCTGAATAAATCATACTGAAAGTCTCCCAAGTCCAGAACAAGGAGCCAAAAGTCTTTGTGCTGAAGTGTTAGTAAAAACAGACACTAGTGAACCCAGTTCTCAAGTTACGATGAGGCTCCTGACCATCTCCCGAGCCGCAGGTGCAGGGTGGGTAGACTCCGGGCTAATTGACAGGGGGCAGGGAGAACCATCAGCACCCCCCCCCCCCGGAGTTCTAGACAGTAAGTGCCCTCCCACCCCCTGGAGGCCGGCAGCTCAGGCCACACAGTGGCCGGGAGTGTGGACTCTGCAGTGGCCGGGAGTGTGGACAGAGGCCAGGAGCGTGGACGCTGAGGCCACACAGCCCAGTGGCCGCAGTGTGTTCCCTGAGGCTGGTGGGCTTGAGGAGCTCAGGCCCCCAACAGCACCTCTTACACTCCCTGGCTTAGCTCCAAGACCCCAGGAAGTGAAGACAGATGTCACAGTGCCGGTGAGCTGAACCAGAGAAGTGAAAGTGTCCTGGGGCCGCCGAGGGCCTTCCAGGGCCAGCGGGCCTCGGCCAGAGCACACCTGCGCGGTTCCTCTTTCCACACACTCCACCTGCGCGGTTCCTCTTTCCACACACTCACCCTGCAGCAGGGCAAGCAACTGTGATTTTCAAGTGTGGCAGGTTAGCTGGCTCCAGGATCTGGCTTTGTTCGCCAGTGTGCTGGTGACAGCCCTCGGGTTCCAAGCGGTGGAGAAAGGCCTGCGCACGGCCTGGCCCCCACGGCACCCACAGCACCCACAGCAGGGGGTCTTGTCCCCACCGACTAATCACTTGCTAAAAATGGGAAGTGCTGAGGCCGCGGCCCTGCAAATCCCAGCTGCGGACAGCGAAGGAACCAGACCGACGCGCGAGTGCGCAAGGGTGGGGCTCGGCGAGGAGCCAGGCCCGCGGAGCTGCCACGCCGCGGCCCAGGCCTGCCCGCGTGTCCCGCGTGGACTGGCCTGCGTGCCGTGACCCTGTCCACGCCCGGGGAGCGTGCCTTCGCCCGGGCCGCGTGACGCCCACCCCGCGGGGAGACGCTGCAGCCCGTGCACGGCCGCGGGGGGCGGGGCGCCCCGCTGTCCCCGCTGTCCCCGCGCCCCCGCACCCCCGCAGCGCCCGGGCCCGCCCGATCCCCGGCCCCCGCACCTGCCCGCGGGCACACCTACCTTGCTCCTTCAGGCTGGTGAGGAGCTGCAGCTGCTTCTCCTCGTCCGAGCTGTTCATGGTGGCGGGTGGGGCTGCGGATCAAAGGCGGAGGGAGACGCCGGGGCCGGGGGAGGGGAGCGGGAGCGGGCTGCCCGTGGCGCGGCGTGCCCGGCCCTACCCGGAAGTCGGGATCGCTCCCGCTCCTTCCCTCCTCCCGCTCCTCCCGCTCCTCCCTCTCCTCCTCTCCACCTATTGCTCCTCCTCCACCTGCTGCTCCTCCTCCCCCTTCTGATCCTTCTGATCCTCCTCTCCACCTACTCCTCCCCACGGCCCCACCTGCTGCTCCTCCTCCCCTCCTCCCGTGACTGCTGCTCCTCCCTACCTGCTGCTCCTCCCCTCCTCCCCCTGATCCTCCCTCTCTTCCTGATTCTTCTCATCCTAATTCTCCACCCTACCTCCTGATCCTCTCCCTCCTCCCACTACTCCCCCTCCTCCACTCCTCTTGATCCTCCTCCCTATCTACTGCTCCTCCCCCTCCTCCTAATCCTCACCCTGGCTTCCCTCCCTTCCTAGTCCTCCCCCTCCTCGTGGTCCTCCTCCCCACCTCCTCATCCTGAATCCCCTCATCCTCATCCTTCTCATCCTGATCCTCCACCCCACCTCCTCTTCTTCTTCCTCCTCCTCCTCATTTCCCTCCTCCCTCTCCTCCTCCCAATTTCCCTTCTCTTCTTCCTCCTCCTCTTCCTCCTCCCCCTCCTCATTCTTTCCTTCTTCCCCTCCTCCCCTCCTCCTGATCCTTCTCCTGATCCTCCTCCTGTTCCCCTCCCCCTTCCTCTCCCTTCCTTTTCCCCTTCCCCTCTTTCCCGCCCTCCCACCCCCCGCGCAGCACGCGCTGAGCTCATCCCACGCACCTCCTCCCGGGCTGCTCCAGGGAGGGCGGACCTGGGCGCCGAGCCCGGGAGGGGCGGGGCCGCGGAAGGCGGGCGCCTGCCACCTCCCCCTCCCCCCCCCCCCGTGCCAGTGGCTCTCCGCTCACCCTGGAGACACGCCCGGCTTCGCCCCCGAGGGCTGGGCGGCGGCGCCAGCGACCCACGCCCAGCTCGCGCGCCCAGGCTCGCAGGCGCGGGGCTCCGAGCCCGGGCGGGACGCTGTGCTGCACCCCGGCGCCCGGGGCGGCGCGGCAGGTGCACAGTCTGCTAGGCCGGTCCCCGCACGGGCGGGGGGGCAGTGCTGCCACACTTCCTCCGCGTGCCAGCCTGGCGCCTCCTCACGCGCGTGTCCCAGACGACCCCCTGGTCCGGGCGGAGGCTGGACCTGCGCCCTCGGTGCCCAGGCCCGTTTGTCACCTGGCGGGCAGCCTCGCGCGGAAGGGTGCACAGCCGGTTCCGGATTCCCGGAGGTCTTCATGCCCACCTTGGGGTGCGGCCTGACAGAGGCTGGCCTCCCCGCCCCGGTGCGGCCACCGCCGCTCCGATCCCCCGCATTCCGGGCGTCTAACCGAGGGAGAATAGTGCACGCCCTGGGGACCGAGCAAGGTGAACCCAGGCGGAATTTGACCACAACACCAGAACAAACCTGAGTGGAGCTCAGAGCGAAGAGCACGCGCCTGTGTTCGCGCGCTAAGGCCCTCCGTGCACCCAGCGGGGCGGTGGGCGGGTGCTGGGCTGCGGGCACCTTGCTGAGGGCACCCTGTGCTGAGGGATGCACCGTGCTGGGCGCGCTGAGGGCACCGTGCTGAGGGGTGTGTTTTCACCAGGTGCTGCGGCTGTTAGTACCTGCCGAGGACAGCTTAGCTCCTTTCGCTGACCATTAAGCACCAGGATAAGTCCAGACCCGTGGAGCTTCTGCAAGTTAGTCTCCCTCATCTCTGGGTCCATGGAGACAGGCCAGGACTTCTCCACGGATTGTGAAAATGCCCCCAGCTCAGTCGGTAGCGCTGGCACGTGCCTAGAGCCCGCCTGCAGCCTGCGCCTTTCTTACGCTCTGGCGATTTTTCACTAGCATCTCTCGATGGTCTCTGAAAACTTGGGCAGGGCTTTTTCCCTTGGGTAAACAGCAGTATGATGTTTTGGAATGCACGCTCAGTTGGTAGGCTGGTCTGAGTTAGCCATGTCAGTTTCTGAATAAAAAAATGACGATGACTCTGTGAAACCATTTCAGTGTGGGGCCTTGTTGCTCAGCCTTCCAGTGTCCCACAGGAGTTCAGAGTATTAAGTCAGCCTGCAATGGGGACTGGGTCCCCCATGCTGCCCAACACGGAGTTCTCAGCACCAAGACTCCCTGGCCCAGAGGACAAAGGGCAGCAGATAAGTCGAAAAGACAGCAGACAGAGGGTGAGCGGAGGGCAGGGAGAGGCAGAGCTAGAAGGGGAATTTGTCCAGAGGGCAAAAGGCCCCCTGGACAGAGAGGAGACAGACTGGCCCAGAGGAGCGAGGTGGGTCATAAGGGAGAAACCGAGGTGGAGTGAGGTGTTTCACTTAATTGGGCGTGTTCATTAGGTGAGCCGAAGAAGGCTTCTGACTGTTGGACTTCGAAACTGAGAGCTAGGCCTTGGTGCTCAGCACGGGGAGGAAGAGGCCAGACTGCGAATGGACTTTGGTGGCCAGCTTTGGAATGCAACCTAACAGGTTTTAGCAAGGTGGAGGGGGTTCCAGAGAAGGGCACGGCATGAAGAGCCACCCTCGCCCTGCCCACTCCTCATGCCCGCCATGCTCCCCCACATCCTCTACCCCAGCTAAAGTCCCTTCACTGATCCCAAAAGACAGCCACACGAGCTTCATCCTGGAGGTCCGCCCTCCACTTGGGGCAGTAGGTGGGAGAGCTATTATGGCCGTGAGAGGGTGGGCAGCCACCCAGTGCTCTGCAGAATGAGTGAAAATGTGTTCCCAGACGAGCAAACACACCAGGAGATGAGAGCAACTGCTTTTGTAGGGCGGCCGGGAAGCCTGTTGCCAGGGGACAGCCGTGACGGCAGCCGAGGAACCGTCCACCGCCCAGAAGCGGGTGCCCAGCTGGTACTCAGACCGGCTCACAGACCCCCCTCGTCCAAACGGCCGATGGGATTGCCAGCCACAGTGTGACGTTCAGGGGTTTGAGAGGAATTAGGATCAGCCTCAAATGGAGCATTTCAGTGTCACACAGTCTGGGGTCGTTGGAGTGAATCCCACGCAGCTTCTTTGACCTTAACAACAAGTCACAGTTACCCTGAGGGCACCCTATGAATTACTAGGGTGGCCTTTCTATGACTCATCGGGGTGCAGGGCTTCGGTTACAGCCTTGTTTAGACGGCATGGATAGTGATGTCAAGGAAAGAGTGACACAGTCAGGTTTTGTTCTACTTAATAATACATGCAGGGGTTATGTTTCATCGCTTTGAAGCTGTTACCAACAACATCTAATTTAAAGCATCTAGAAATGCGTGTATCTACCTGTGTGTACACACAAACATATACACACATATAGGAGGCCAGGAGGTACTTCCTCAAGATGAACCAAAAGAATTATAACAGACTCCGGGTAGTGGCTGGCTCCAGGGGCTGAAGGTAGAGACTGACCGAGGGAGGCACGGGTGCATAGTGATGCGAGGCCTCGTCGGTGTTTCTTTGCCTTTTCAGGTAGTTAGAACCGTGTGTAATCTCCCCGGCGGTGCAGATACAGCTGAGACAGCTGTGAGGCCAGCTTGTCTTTGCGCCTTCACTCTGTCTGGAAGCCAGTCCTTGAGGATGAGCCTGCAGGGCACTGACACAGTGTCAACAATGACACAAAAACAGTAACATTTGGATGTTACCGGGCAATGAAAAGAAACAAAGTTGCGATTCACAGCCCACTGTGGGCAAAGGGAAGACCTTATCCTACGTGCAAGAAGCCAGAAAAGCCTAACCGCCCGATGGCTCTACAGAAAACACAGCAGTCAAGTAACCGCAAAACACTGGCGGGCGACTGGCACAGAGCAAGGAGAGGACAGGGAAGGGCTCTTGAGAGGTGTGTGCAGTTGGGGTGATAAACTGAAATGTGTTGTATTTCGGTTGCATAATTGCACACTGGAAAAAGGAGAAATGTGTGTTCTGCCCAGGGAGCCCAGGCTTCGGTTGTTTTCATCAGGACTGACAGCACGTGAAATACAGTTCAGTGAAGCTGTTGTTTTTAAAGATTATTTTATTTTTGATGGTGTGTAGCCTGTGGGGGGGGGTGTACGTGTGAGTGCAAGGGCCTCAGACTCATGATGACCTGTGTGTGTGTGTGTGTGTGTGTGTGTGTGTGTGTGTGTGTGGACACACATGTGAGTGCAGGGGCCTCAGACCCAGAATGCTGTCAGCTTCCCTAACGAGAGTTACAGGCAACTGTGAGCAAGTCAAGTGCATGCTGGGAAGGGACTCAGATCCTCTCGAAGAGCAGCAAGTCCCCTCAGCCCCCGAGAGCCTCTCAGCTCCGAAAGCTGCTTGTGCTTTGTTTGTGTCTTAGGATTGGCAGAGAGGGATGCAGGGATTTGTGGGACTCCAGCAGGGGGAGGCGGGGGCGGCAGGGTCACCCACAAATTCAAGGCCAGCTCGGGCTACATCTGTTTCAGCCGGCCAGAACTACGAAGCAGCGGCCTGATCTAAAGCAGGCTGGTGTGGCGGTGCGCGCTTGGCTCCTCTGCACATGGCGGGCAGGGGCAGGCGGAGCTCCTTGAGTTCAAGGCCAGCCTGCTTTGCACACAGTTTCAGAACAGCCAAAAATACATGGAGACATGCTGTCTCAAAAAAACAGCAATAGTGCTGGGCGTGGTGGTGCACACGCCTGTAATTCCGACACTCGGGGAGGCAGAGGCAGGCGGACTAGATCGCTGTGAGTTCAAGGCCAGCCTGGTCTACTGAGTGAGTTTCAGGGCAGTTAAGTCTACACAGAGAAACCCTGTCTCAAAAAACAAACAAACAAAAACAGATATTAAAAAATTAATAAAATAAATCAAACCCAACAATTTCCATAGTAATAAGACTTAAATAACTATTAAATTAATGTTTTTACACAAATGCTATTAATTTTTCAAATATTTGGTAAAATGTTTCAACCTTTTACTAAACAGTACTTCATATGTACTTAACCTGTCTTAGTTTAATCCCTGTTACGGAGCAGTGCAGCATGTCGGCGAAGAATGAGCAGCTCTTGAGTTCTTAGATGCTTGTGTTGTTACTCAAATGTATTGTTATGTAGATGCTTGTGTTGTGTCTGTTTGTGAATGACGCTTTCTGATACCACACTAGGCTCATCCTAGTTCAAACACTAAAACTAAATCTAACATCCAAGTCTCCAGAGCAATCAGAGAGGGCCCTGTCATGGCGCTGGGCTGGTGTGCACGCCCCCACCCCTGGTTTGATCCCAGTCCTCCTCTCTCTGCCAGCTGGCGAAAGCAGCTACAGAAGAAGACACTGCACGTGCGT